TAAGTCATTCAAGCTTTTTTCCTGTCTGTTTGCGTTCACTAAGCACCAGCTATCATTGTCTCTTTGTGTTGATAGAGGGCCATATTTTAACATAAAAGTTGGATTTTGCATTCTGTATATGATGGTAATGGTTGAAATACAGAGAGCACCTATTATAAACATGAGGAGAAAATCACTGATATGGTCAGTTAACAGTTTTCCTTTGGTTATTGACTGAAAACCTTTCAAACTAATAGTATTAGCTATATTTAATCAAAAAGTAAGACTTTCTAACATTATTTGTTTAACTGAATGTGTTGTGCATCACCCACAACATTCAGTACTTTGTTAACAGAGGCAAACAACCACATGCTTCTCAATTCCTAAGAACACAGATAATATTTACTAAAAACCAGAGGTCGCAAGGGAACACTAAACCGAAGGGAAAAAAATATTGGAAAAAGAAAAAGTCTCTTTGTTAATGAAGATGAAAAGTAATGCCTCCATTTTGCATGCTACTACGATTAGTTTCACCACAGCCATTTGAAAGGTCTTTCCAGTGAAGGGAGATCACTTGACCCCCCGTCTGTGACTGAATCCCGTCTTTCCATTAGGTGCTCCTTGCAACCATAACGTCTATCTCTGCTCCAGCTGGACACAGATGCTTAAAAAACCAAGGGGGCATCACAAAGAGCTCACAGACTACAAGTCACACGGCGCCTGTGATTCAAAAGATCCATTATTCTGACTAATCATGCTAAAAAAATCTTATGCATATGCCTCTCCTTTGAAAAGAGCGTCGTAAAGCTGCCACATAGAAAAAAAAATACTGCATGATGATGAAACACTTATACAACAGTTTAAATAAAACCTGTAGTACTGCTGGAGAATACTTCTTTATTCCTACAAAATATATCATATCATACTTCGAAAGGCAAACTTCTACATCTATAAAGCCAACAAGATCTGGTAATCAATTCTGAATGTCAGGGGGAAACAGATGACGTCAATCCACTGACAGAAGTTCCAACACATTTTCAAGACACATAATTTCATAATTGAATCTTGTCTGGTTGACAATGTGGGAAAAATGTCACTTTTCTATGGGATTGGTATGGTTTATATTTTTAAAAAGTACTCTCAAATTACTTAAAGAGTACATAAACTGAGTTTCTAGTTATTGGATGACAAGTCACCAGCATAGAGTGAAAGAGGCATCAACCAAATTGAAGAAAACAGACCCAAATCGCAACAGTTTCGGCAATGTTTCTGGTTGAGTTTGGGGTAAATACGGATGAAAAAGTTACAGGGATGAAGACTTTAACCTGATATTACTGTTTTATTAGCATCATCATAGAAAAACAGTAATGTTTTGACTCAACTGAGGCAGAAAATGTCAAGTTAAATGTCTGTTTGGCGCATGTAGGAGGCTTATTGCCGTGAAAGAGCAACTGATCAGTGGATTTAGGGACTATTTTTTTAGGGTCATAAATAAGCATCAATAAAAACCCTTAACTGTTGGGTCCCTGTTCACCATGTTGGGATCGATTAAATAACTGCACACTTTAACAATGTGAATATTCAATTTATTGAGATGGTTGTGAAAGTTGCTAAAAGAACTATGACGCAGAAAAACCAACTTGAGAATCAGAAACATCAGTGCTTTGGGGATGCATGACTACAATAAATCCAAGACCGGTGATATTGCAGCAATATGAAACTGAAGGGTTTTTTTTAATGAATATTTAGATAATAATAATCTATCAATTTACTCTTACCGAGGACTGTTTATGATTTGCTGTTATCCTCACATGGGGAATATATTATTTGCTCTATGTAAATGTATGAATGGCGGTCTACGGTAAGTGGCATGAAATAGCCGTTTATAGTTTGGTGTGAAACAGTGAATCAAAGGAGAAGGTTCCCTTGTGTTTTTAGGTGGTTTTTCAATGTTCCACTTTAAATGGAAAACTGTTTTGCACCACTGTTAAACCTGCTCTTGGCTTCTAAGTGGCTCAATACTCAGTGCAACCAAATGATTAAGCAGATGGGTTCAAATTTGGTGTTGAGGTTTTATCAAGCTGCAGTTTGTGCTTTTCTATCATTCTTTGAAATTTCCTCTGAATTTGACAAGCATTATTACCCATCTATGTTAAATACTTGATTCTGATTGGTCAAACTCCTCATAATAACAGTTATTAGATCTCAACAGCAAAAGTGACACCAAGTACAGCCTGATCACACGTCATATTACATCAATCCATAAAAAGCAGTGCAGCCTATTTCATCACTACCTGTTGACACTGAGACAAAAATGTTGGTTCCCATCTTTGGTCGGTGTTAAGAAACAGGAAATAGTATGAATTATTGGCCACAGATGTGAGACTAGCCCGAGGAGCTGATGGGCCCCAACCACTGAGAGAAAAGAGGAACAAGATCCTGTCCTGCAATCCAGACAATGACAGCAGAGCTGGTGAGAACATCTGCAAGCTGCCGATCACTACAAAGTAACTTAAACCACAAGCATTAGAGAGGATAGCGAGGGTGTAAAAAGCAGTAAAATTTCGGTCATTTGTGGTTAAAGCTCTGTCAACCGCAAAGCCCTGGAGAGAAGGAGAGCTGCTGAATGATGATGGAAATGTAAGCATAGATGTTCTTGTAGAAGACCTGATCGCCTTGTCCAACATTATCATGGATGGAAATTTCAATTTGTAAGTAGTGATTGTTGCTCTACATATTACCCCATATTACTATAAACTCACTGCTATTTGGTGTAACTGTGTATCCCATGTCTTTTCAAATTGGTAATGCTGTTGCAGTTACAGAAATGTTCAAAGATTTGTTCAAAGCTACTTAACAGAATTATCATACAATTTGGCACAAGGTTATACCTACATCAGTATACATTTCCCAGCATAAGTCAGTACACCCCCCTATTAAAAGTAATATATTACTCAATATCAAGATGAGCAAAAGTTCAATTTCCAAAGTTTTGACAAAGCTGAGTTTAACATAGCATTTTATTTACCATGAGATAAAAATAAGGGTGATATGGTAACTAAAATTTAGCTTTGCTTCAAGAACTTTTACTGGGGTGTGCTCATTTTTACATCCTGATATTACATTGAAAAAAAAAATAAAAACACTTTTTTGAATGCAACTTACATAAATCTTGTTTGCAATCAATCCCTCAACATTTGGGGGAGTATTTTGTTGTATAACCTAATCTGACTTTAGGAAATGTTGATTTTGAAAGTAAACTGAAGCTTTTCTGACAACTCTGAAGGGGTGAATTTATGCTGAGCACTGTACAGTCCAATCCTGGAAAAAAGTATATAGCACGCCGTAAATGACAATCAGGTGTGTACGTTCTGTCTTGTAAATGCCAGCATTACTTTTCACCGCTTGAAGAAAAGATTGAAGAGGTGAGTTTTTGTCAGGGCAGCACAAGTTTTCTCAAAACCGAAAGCACTAAAGGTAGCCTACAATGACTTTCTTGAGTTTGAGGCAAACTTTCTGAAGAAGTATAAAAAAACTTTTTTTCCAGGACTGGTAACATACACGGTTGTTACACAAGGAGACTGAACCAATTTCATACTGTCTAATTTTGTGAACAAAGGCAACACAACCTTCAATCCAGACCAAAATCTGTCAAATACACATTGTCGATACTCTTTTAAATTCTGCTAGTTCAGTTAGGTTTAGGCACTTAAACTTTTCAACCATGTGGAGAGGAAAGGTTGTGGTTTTGGTTAAAAATTTGTTATGAAGTTAGGTAAAAGTAAAGCTTTCTGAAAGACGTGAGAGACATCACCACCAACAGTTACCTGAATAATGACTTTCTCGCTCTTCAACCACCACAAAACTTCCACCATGGTTACAGAAAGATTATTACAGTAATACAGTTCCTGAAAAGTCCAACATCAAGCAGATCAAACGTATATCTACAATTTAAAAGGTACCTGAAAATGACTGGTACAAACAAAGAAGGGAAAAAAAACTGTTTATAGTTTTAAACTTGAGTAGTTTTGTAATGAAGAGCTGATTTGTTTCTGGAGTCCTTACGCTGACTCTAAGAATCAACTTGAAAACTATGACGGAAAATATATTTATGATTTTTATAAACCCTTGACCTCAAAGGGTTTCAAATACTGCTTTAATTCAGCTTACAGAGGTAGTGTGAGGTGCTCAGAAGATATTAGCGGCATCTCCCGCCACTAATCAAATTAAATCCAGACATCTCTGACTATAACGTCTGGAGCAGCCCTGTTTCTTTTAAAGCAGACTCTTTTTGCTTTTTTTCCACGTAAAATATCTGGTCATCTGAGCGTCTCTAACCGAACCGTCACAGACGATTAGAGGAGGAACAACTCGTCTTGGTATCCCAAAGAGCATGGGGTCCTCACGAGAGAGTGAGCCACAACTTGAATCAATGTCACCGTTCAGATAATCACGCATTGCCGATTCACCATGTAAGATGCATTTTGTTTGCTGCCTAAGTGTGTAAAGCCTCTATTCATTTTCACATTTTTCTGCAGAGAAATGTGGTCAACTCAGTAACGACACTTTACTCTGGAAATTTCAGCCCTGGTTGTTCGGATGCGATGTAATGTTGTTCTTCTGGTTGCTGTGATCTTTCCTGTGACAAACCAAACTGACAAATTTTTAAATCTTGTTTTTTTACTAATAACCTAATCATAATCTTGTTATACATGTCAGTTAAAGACGTGTGCAAGTGTTTGGCTAATTTGATACAATAACTGAATTAGATTTGTTTTGAGTCCAATATTCAGTCATAATTTGAGTAATTTAAGCATTTTGGTTTTGGTATTTAGCATTTTCATCTTAAAGCTTCTAAAATAAAATAATGAAATTGACATATTAAATTTTAAGATTTTACTGTAGATGGATAGAAAGACGTAGAGTGATATAGATATCCTTTACAAATGATTTGACCAAACCGAGTTTAAAAAAAAATGAGATTGGAAAAATAAAAGTTATTTGAAAATCTTAAGAAGTTTGTGCCCTTTATTTGTTTGAAGTCATAACTAATTTATCAAGAGTCATGCAGGGACAGAGGGATATTTACAGAGTTACAAACAAGGGCCCATCTCTTGTGTGACCTCTCCTCTCAGAAACCATGTGTTTTTCACACACACTGACAGACACAAACACACAGAGAGAAAAACAAGCTTTACACAACACAAGTGTGAAATCTCCATGTTCCCAGTGTGTGAGAGTGTGTATATGTGTGTATGTGTGTGTATGGGTTCTCAGTTTGCAGAACTCACAGAGCGCTCAGACGGCATCGGAGACAGCAATGACCCCTGGATTCATGAATGCACAGTGTTTCATCTCTGCTGGGTTCAACAAGGGAAATTGATTTAAAAGGTAATGCATCACTGATATAGAGAACACCGCACATGTAGAAGAGAAATTATAGGAAACAGAATTTAAAAGCAAAGCTGAAGTGACTGACAGCACAGTTTTCTACCAGGACAGACTGTAACTTCATTTGACAGATCATAAAATTCATGATTTCATAACTGAAAATCTATCAGTCATCATTTTTGTCACACTTAGATATTACATTAATGTCAACTCGATTACCTGAATTGAAATAAAATCTGGAATTCCATGTTTTTGAGTGCGAGGTGTTGGAGGACGTATAGACAGTCTGATACTGGGTTCCATCCACTGTTGCTGCTTCCAATAAGAATGCTAAAAAAACCCAAAAACAAACAAATGAATCAGTACATTATTCCTCATCAAAAGCAATAAAAAACATTTGGATTGCTGAATGCTGTACCTTAATTTGGTCATTTTGTATTGCAAAATCATGATATATTATACTAGTCAACACACCTACTAAATTCAGGCTCGCATTATAAGCTGTATACGTATAGTTTGCCCTTATTTAATTCACTGTGTAACATTCACCTTAATATCTGTGAATCCCCCATACCTCTACTATGAAAGCAGGAGTTTTAATCGTGATACTGTATGATGCGATCTCTTTCCCTGATGTACCTCTATTACACCTTTCTAAAAATGACAACACACGCCAACAAGCCATTACATTATAAACACCTGAGTAACATAATGCAACTTTACTTTGCATTAACGCCTCATCTTTTTTTGAACTTATACATTTTTGAAATTTGTTCTCAGGCAAAATCACGGATAGGTGATAATTTGTTCTTTGAATTAAGTGCTAAAGCTGTGATGGGTGTCGTGCTGAAGGGCATTATACTGGAAGGTGTTCATAATATTTTTCTCCCCTTATATTTGTGGATGAAGTGAACAAACTAGAAGAAGCAGCCATTAGCTCTTTAATAATGAGTATAAAGCACAATAACCACCTGTCTCATGTCGCCAAAAACTAAAAAAGGTTCAACTTTACAGAGGTGGGATTTGTGGTAGAGCTGTTGTATTGGGATTATGCAGGTGTTTAATATTACCATTGAACATGTACTTCACAGGTATTTTGGTTAAATTCAAATTTATTCCTTATGGCTGTGAAACATCATCTTCTGTCAGGTTGGGGTTCGGAGATTCAGAATTGCGATAATGTTCTGTAATGTTCTGTTCAATGTACAGAGCCAGCTTGAGCGAAACACAAACCAGTCTAAAAGTAACTACATGTCAACACTGCAAGCAGGGGGGAGAGAAAATTATATTCTGTGTAATAAATTTCTAAAGTTTGTCCACAGCTCCTTAGGGATGGCTGGCAGAGTGAACAAAATAGAAGAACAACCACTGCCTCTTCAATAATAAGTATAAAATACATTAACCACCTGTCTCATGTCACCAAAAACTGAAAAGGTGTTAACTTTATAAAGGTTAAACTTGTTGTAGAGCTGTTGTTTTGGGATAAGCAGGTGTTTAATGTTACAGTTGAACGTTTATTTCACAGGTATTTCCGTTAAATTTTAAATTCAAGGCTTACAAACATTATTAAAACTGATAAAAGGTACAGCTTTCAAGAACCTTTCAACCACTTTTTAACGTGTCTGTGCTATAGGCTCACTTAGTTGTAAAACTTGAGTTTCCCTGCTACATTACAGAGCAAAGCAACAGCGCCATCTTGCGTCGACGGAGCACAATGGCGCCTTCAAATCCAACTACGTAACTTCCGTTTAAAGATGGCCGCGCGCTGACAAATGTCACATTACATCTGCAGATGAGAAAATCGAAATATAAGCTGAAAACTACCGCCTAAACTAGTAGAAAACTACATCGACGCTCGACAAGACTTGTCACCGCTTAATTCAACATCCGTGGAGGTATTTTGTTCTTTTTCGACCATTTTGAACCGCGTATATTAAAGTGTTTGTCCTGTTAGCTGTGAGCATACGCTTGGTACACAACATGCAGACATTTAAGAACACATCAGGATTATTAAGTTTATCATACATATGTTTGACTCTATACTGGGGTCATTTACAAAGACAGCCTCTTGTGTACACTTTGGTCTGGCGGTAATAGTTTGTCTTTTTCAGGATATTCCAGCTATCAACATGGTCCATTTATGTGAGTATAACTCTAGATTTGATTTTGTTTGTGTGTTTATTCGTGGTCAATTGTTGTCTGAGAACAAGTGCTTTTGGTGTGTTATTACCTTGTTATGAGGTCAGTAGATCTCCTCAGGTTCAGTCCACTTTGGCCGCTGTCCTCCAGGACCGTCATGTTTCTACAAGAGCCGAAAGGGGACAAACTAAACTTTTGGCTTTTTAACGTTTTGGCGCCATTTTCGGGGTGACGCTTGTAATTTTAGGGGCGTGGTCGTCACACATTCGTAACTTTGAACCACTCCGAAGGATGTCACCAATCTACACCGTAGACTGTAAATACTATGGATAACTTGGTTCCGCCTTCCGCCAGTTCACGGATTTGAAGCCGAGAAGCTCTCCGTATTTCCGCGGTTTTTTTTTACCATTTCCTGAAGTTAACATTGCGCGCCGCATGCGCAGTAGCATTGTACGCATTAGGCGGGAGAGTCGCTGTGATGACGCTCGGCTCAAGCAGCGTAGGTCGCGATTTTTTTTTCCGTAGGATGGTAGGGGAAGGTCCCGCCCTCCTTCGCCTCTGATTGGCTAGAAGTGCTGGGCTCTGATTTCCATCTGTATTATATATTCTGTTTTGAACTGAAAATCGAAAAACAACCACTACTCTTTTTGTTTTTTGGTTATATAGAAAAACAAACAAAATATTGACTCGTTCTTTCGTTTACTAGATTGAATGAAATAATTGAATGGTCGGTAATACACAGACCGTTATTCCTTATGGCTGTGAAACGTCATCTTCTGTCGGGTTAGGGTTAGGATATTAAGAATTCCTGTTCTGTTCTGTTCTGTTCTGTTCTGTTCGATGTACAGAGCCGACAGTTCGCGCTCGGCTTGAGCGTGTGATGATGTTTCACAGCCATAAGGAATAACCGATCAGAGCCTAGCTTTTCTAGCGAATCAGAGGCGAAGGAGGCGGGGCCGAGCCAATCCTACCATCTTACGAAAAAAAATAAGCCTCTGAAAACATACCGGGAAATGACGCTTAACCCATTTATTTTCACTTAACACAGTGTGTAACAACAACTCCACATTTGTTTCTATTAATAATGCTAACCTTGTTTGTTTTCTCCTGCAGCTTCACTCCTGCTGAAGCAGTACCACGGGGGCTACGTCGTCATCCGATTTGCTCGTGCCGGCCATAATCAACCCAACAGACCATTTTATCGTATTGTGGCGGCATTCAACAAAAAAGCAAGAGACGGCAAATATCTTGAGCAGCTGGGGACTTATGACCCCCTCCCGAACATCCACAATGAGAAACTTGTCAGCTTCAACTTTGACCGGATCAAGTACTGGATAGGCTGTGGCGCACATCCTTCGAAGTCAGTCTGCAAACTGTTGGGTATGTATTCTCTTGCTGAAAGTGTTTCTTTTTTTGCTTGTTTGTCCATCTGTCCTTTTTTTTGCTCAGTTCCATTTCTGTCTGTTTGAGATAAAGAAGGAAATTGATAACTTTTAAGTAAAATTCATGTGGAGGAAAGTTTTTTTGTGTTGATTAGTTTTTAATTTCTTTACATCTGTACTTTATGGTATTATTAATGATGACTATTGTCTTCACTAGGCCCTCAGCCATTTGGTTAATTTGACAAAGATTTGACAAAATTTTCATGATTATGATGGATCTTGTTTTTCCATTCTCGTGTCTTTCGGCAGGGTTGGCAGGATTTTTCCCTTTGCACCCCATGACTGTCACAGAGGCAGAGCGCAGGAGAGCACAGGCAGCACTGACTGCACAGACAGAAACCTCAGCAGAGGCTGAGGACAGTCCAGAGCAGCCAGAGAAGGATGCTGAAGTGTAAAAGTTAACCTTTGAACTGTGTGCAATTGTGCATTAAAGAAGGACGTTACAGTTATTCGGGAAGACAACTGACCGGTTTTCTCCTTCATGTTGGATGGACGGCGGCTCGTATCAACATTTGGTATCAGAACGTGCGTTTTGGCTGCTTTAGTGGCAGCCTTAGAAAACATGTTATTGTCTTTGATAAAACTGACTAATGGAAGAGCTCCTGGGAGGGTGTGTCCTGTTGTATTTGAGTTGAATAAAATATATCAATGTTGCATTTGTTTTTTTTTCAATATCTAGCTCCGCCTTTTACAGAGGTTTGAAATTAAAAATCTGACAAGATGCTCTGTCTGTCTCTGTTTCTGTTTCTGTTTTGGGTCTGTCTATATTTGGACTTCCACACATGAAGCAACAGCAGTTCAAGGAGACAAAGAAAATCAGATCAATCTTAACACCTTTAGTTTCCTCTTTGGCTCAACAATCAATTTCCCACCTTAACTTTCATTTGTGTATAAGAAAAACTAAAGATTGAGTGACAAAAATCATGCATTATTGCAATGAAACATTTTACAATATAAAGGAAACTGGCTCCTTAAGTGAAGCACTGATGACTAAAGGAACAATGCTCTACCTTAAACGACTTCAGGTGTTCATACTCCCCACTGACTATTACATTTACCATAACAAAAGAATCCCTGTCTTAGATTCTTTCTACATTGACCACAAGTTTAAGTTAAAACAACAAATCTCCAGAAACATGATTAGACCCCAGCATCAACAAATGCCAGATAAAATATCAGATACTAACTGAAAATATGAATCAGCCTCTAATCACTACTCCAGGAGCATCAAATGCAATTTCTATAATCCCTATGTACTTGTGGCAGTGAACGGGCCAGTGTATATATCTACTTATAGTTACTTCTAAAGTGTCATTTAGGATCAACACCTTTGACCTAAACCTGAAATCCCACACCACAAGCTGTAACGATTATTAGTTACTCAATCTCACATGTGACATGAACTTTCACAAGGTCACCTACTGTCAAATAAAACCAAAGTGATACGGTTACATACTGTACCACTTCAACATACTCCTCCTACATGACGCCTACTGACTCAATGCAGCACCCGCCCAGTTAATCAAAAGGAAGACACAAATCAAGAAGCAATTCACAGAATTCATAAGCATAAACTCTTTACAAAGTTAACGATACTGCATGTCCTGGTCTGATTTGTGCCTGTCTTTTCATATGCAGGTATATTAAACATGACATGAAGGATCAAATTGCCTCTGCTAAAGGTTCACTTTGAGAGACTTCTACCTTTTACAAGACAGTAAGTCTCCCCCTTATATTGGTGAAGTTTTTCATTCCCAACTTTAGTTCTTCAAAATCTACTGGTTGGAAAAATGTCTTTAATTAACAAGTTAATGATAAAATATTAAATAGAAAATGTTGTATTAGCAAGTATTTTATATCCTCATGTGGTAACGACCTCTTTCTATTTTTCACCGTTTTACTGTCTGTCTTTATTTGCAGATACTGAAGGTTTACTGACCATAAAAAAGAGTTTACTGGAGATTCTACCTTTTAACCTGCTTTTACTGTTAGATTTTTATGGCATTTTATGGCAATGAGGAATGAATCAACTAATAATTTCATAAGTAAATATCAAGCAATAACTGCATTAATCGGTACCTTCACAAACAACATTTAATATTTATAATATAACACACACTTTTTTACCTTAATGTCCAAATATGTGGATTTCTTATCATAACTTTAAATTCAATAACATCCAACTAATGCACCAACTCAGAGCGACGGATCCAAAAACCTATAAAAATGTAAAGCCAGTCAAGTTTCTATTGATCCGTTCATCTAAAATTAACTCTTTATGAAACATGCTCTGTCTTTTAAGTGAAGTATTTCTAATATATCAACTGTAGACAAGGACAGGCTGTCGCAGTTAGCATGGCAGGGTACATCTTCACACACAATAAAACAATCAAATCCAGTTTGTCAGCACTCTTCTTGATGGGGTGTTGATTGATACCGTGAGTGACATAAGTAACCTCAATAAAAAGTTTTCAGGCCTTTCATAACTCACCAGTAAACTTGAGTAGACTCACCTTCAAGACATCTCAGAACTAAAAGTAGGTGACACTTGTGTAAGTTCGACACATGCGTACATTTGCTGCTTTCTTTAACCACCATCTCTCTATTCAACGACTTTAAAAAGTCTATTTGTGTCACGGCCTGAACCTGTTTCTAATTGTTTCAGTTTTGTTAATTACACTCCTGAGTCAAAGTGTTTCCTTGTAAATTATAATGATAATAATCAACACTAACAAGAGGCAAACCTGCACGTATGGAAAACATTTTTAATGACATTTGCAGAAAACTTAAGCAGATTTAATAAGTGTTACAGTATCATAATTTCTGCTAAAGTTGTGTTCCCTTGCAATCCTTCAGTGAGATATTTTGAGTGTGACCTCTTTGTTCAGGGTCCAAGTTAACCTACTTATCCTACTGAACTGTGCAATATTATCTATGATGTGCAATACCATGTGCAATACAACAATTCATACCTCATTTATCATGTGTAATATGACAATTCATACCTCATTTATCCCACCGACCTACCCCCCATTGCATACATTCCCACTCAGCACCTACTGCATCGCTTGTGCACTTTTTAAATAATTCTCTAATAATTTTATAATCCTTTTATATTTTTGTATCCTTATTTTACTGTATTCCTCTCAGTACTTTTTGTGTGTTTTATCTGTACTCCTTTGGGTCGACCAGTCCTCTCATCCAGGGCGTTTCATTGCATTGTTGATTTTGTTTAACCTGCGTATGACAAATAAACAAATCTCTTGTTTGCATCATGAAAAGTGGTGCTTAAGGGTCATTGTGACAAAATTGTAGTTTCTCTCTAGTTTGCAATAAAGTATAAATCTACATAGTTGACCGCTCGCTATTTTTATGCCTTTTAACATATAACTTGAACATGACCTTGTTAAAATACTTAAATTATCCTGGCTCAGCAGAACTCATGTTGGAAGATCGTCTTTCCTCGATCTCTTAGATACAGATGCCTTTATTGTCATTGCTGCTTTATGCTTGTCTTTTTTATTTTAGAGAAAAACTAACCGACATACAAAAGTAAACTAAAGTTCTACCTTTTTAGTCTGACTTCTCGTTGAATTTTGTTTTAATCTTTTAATCTGCATTACATGATTTTACCCTATTTTAGTCCGAGAGTAACTATTTTGTGTTTTATTACCTTTTTTTTAGGTTGGGAGAGTGGTTGGGGTTTGGTATTTGTATTTTTATTTATTTTATTTCATTGTTTTTTGATATTGTGCGTGAATTGACTGCACTTTGTGCTACATTCTATGAATGAAAAGTGCTTTAAAAATAAAGTTTGATTGATTGATTGAAGTTTGAACCGTTAAATGATACATTTCCAACATAATATCATCCCATTAGTCATATTTGTGTGATTGAATCCATGTGTGCGGTTCACCTTGTCTTGTCCGCTTTAGTCAATACAACTGAATGGTCACTAGATGGCGCACATGCTCTTAGTTAAGCAGTGATGTGCTTGAGAGGGCTTTGGAGACAGAGGGGTTACATTTAATTTTGGTTGCCTTTAATGCTTATAAAAGGATCTAAAATGCGTCATAGTTTCAACAACTCTTGCAGTAGTCATCTCTATCTTGTCAACATCAGATAATAAATCGATCAGTGATGTAACATCATCAATTCAAATGCCCTAAAACACTGGCACACTGGCCCACAACATTTCATGATGTTAGATCATCTTAATAGGTACTCACTCACCCAGCCACTGACTTGAAGGACACACTTATGAGCTGTTTCTTTACCTTCACTTGATGGGCTATATTTTCTTTACGAGGACCGAGGTAAAGTTTAACTACCAGCACTTCTGTCCTAGTTAAATATTGACAACTCTTTCTATGGCTGACAGCAAATTATGAAAAAGTGACAAATTTCTGTGTGTGTTTTCTTGTTACAATGAAGTATTAGACACATAGATATGCACACAATGTTCATGGGTTTTTAATCATCCTATAACTGAATAAAGGGTTGGTTTTCCAGTGTTTAATGTTTGACATCAAGTTACTGAGTATGTCAAAATTTAGATCCACTTAAAATTGACCCCATATGCAGAGGAATTTATAATAAAATGTGTCTCATTGGGCCTTTTTCAAATGACTTCAGAATGACAATGATGGTTTCAGGATCTTACAGTATAAATGTCATATCTGCTTTCTCTGTGAAATGGGCTTTTTCACAACCTCCTCTACCTTTTTTGCTCTTCGTACCTTTATTTCATTTGCTTGATCTGTTTCTTTATCAAGTTGGAATCACATCCGCAGAACCAAACCCGGTCTCCCCTACACAGTTTATATCTCTGCAGAAGCTTTGGAAGAGTTAAGAGCCTGACACAGAAAACAGACTCACTGTCTCGCTCTCAGACTTCTGCAGACTGACCCACAGAGGCTGCAGACCGGTTAATGAGGCACAAATCATAATTACTGTTATAATCCTTATCTTTGAAAAAAGTTTGCTCCAATTGTTAAATCATCAGCGGTGTCAGCCAAGGACTTTTATCTAATTAACTGAGGCCAAAGTATATTTGATGAAGCTAAGTCTCATAAACTGAAGTCTGAGATGAGGCCGAGAAAGAGACGAAACCTAATGGCGTTTTGTTTTTGGAAGAAAAAGAGATAGAAGTTGCAAGAGACAAAAATGTGGAGACAATATAGCTAATTTAACCTGCTACCAGATACACTTTAAGTCAAATGGGTTTTAGTTTTGTAAGTGTCACATATAAATCATTCAAAGACAGGCAAATGTAGGGTTGAAGCAACTCGTACGTCTAATTCGAGACTAAAAGTGTAACGCCTTGTAAGCCACAGCAGTGCAACTAGTACTTTAGTTGTGTGTTTTTTTCATTCAGACGCTATTCTCAAACCACACGCCTTGTTTATTTTTCTGGCACTTCATCAGTCTTGCTCCAAGCGTACATTTAAAACAGACAGCCGGTTATTAGATGCTATCGTCACTCCGCATGCTGTCGCCTAGAAGTGAACCAGGTGAAAGAGTTTGCAGATGGCCTAGATAGTCTGTACTGCTGCTTTTTTTGATCCTGAGAATGCAGCATTACATCTGCAGCTTTTGGAGGAATAGTTTGACCTGTAATGTTGTGAATGGCTCTGTGCCTAACCGCATGGACACAAGTCAAGGGTAAAACACTCGCTACATTGTTAAGGGCTTAAAAAAACCTGTGGGCGCAAAACTGCCTGTCACAGAGCATCTAAGCAGTCATGCAGGAGGAGACGGTGATATAACCAGGAAGAGGAAGGCAACACGGTGTACACCTGTCAGTCGACCATTGTAAATGACTCCTCTCTCTCTCTCTTTCTCTCGCTCTCTCTTTCTCTGGATAGAGGCCAGTCACAATAAGGCACAGCATGAGGGTGTGTGGGTGATAAAACAGGCCAAACAGCTGAGTTAAGAGTTCAGGGCTTGACAGAATCAGGAGACAGAACGAAGCAGGCTCATAAATAAGTCATTTTATTTTGCTTTCTTTTTTAAAGACTATATACTTAACATCGATTCATAACAACAAATGGAATTGTTAAATACTGTACACAGCATACTGTACTCTCCCAGTGCATGTCTTCACCACAGCAGAGAAGTTATTTCTTGATAAACTAGTCTTCATTCAGTTTTTATATTTTCTAATAAGACATAAAATACCTTTAAGATTAAATAGTATCAGTGTATGATGTAAACATTTGATCTGACGTTAAAGTCAAAAGCAACATTGTGTTGGCAAGGGGTTTGTGAGCAGAAGAGAGAGAAAAAGTGTATTTTTTCAACATGACCATTTGACCTCAGCGGTTATCTGTTTCCCAAACTGAACACCGTGTTCGATACCAAGGGTTACTTCAATACATGTGCTACATTTACTATATCATCCTGATGCTTCTTGAATCATCATCTCTGACAATAAAATCCATATATCTTCTGGGCTGCCAGCAGCCAAAGTCTCTCAGACCACACCCACTGCAATCATGTAAGGCAGGAATGCATGAGCAGAACAGGAAAGTCTGTGTCAGGCAGGTTAACCCTGCGCCGTCTTTGTAATGCGTCTGTATTAACAGGTTAGCCTCACATCTCTGTGATCTCAGATGGGAGTGATTAACAATCTCTATTAAAAGGAACTTCCTGTTGAAATTTACTTTGTGTTACTCTTACTGAAGTGTAGCTGAATTTTAATTTTGTCAGGTCACGTAAAGAGCTATTACCGTATGTATTGCAGAGTATAATTTTTCTGTGTATGTAAGTGAGGAATATGTGAAATAAAACGATTAATATCACAGGGAGGTAGTACTTGAGGCAAATTAGTTCCAAGCAATGACTCACAGCTTGACCAAAAATAAGCTCCTCCCACTGTTCGATGGAATTTCAGTAAGAATAGCATACATTCACTTCATGTTCATTCAACAGGCTGTTTTCTGTGCAACGAAACAGACCTGGACACCGGGCTGAACTCAAAAAGAGCAGGCGCCGCAAAAAAAAAAAAAAGAGCACAGTAACATGTATGTTTGACGATTTTCTACGGCGTGTAGAAAGTCATTTTTTTGTAAAGTATCACCAGAACACTTTTCCGACTTCTGTTCACATGCACGTATGCACCAACACATCCACAACTATACAAACACAGACACACTCATCATCACAGACGTCCACACCATAAAAAGCTGCACTAGACATTCCAACAGAAACATGCTTAGCTACCAGTAATGTACCCACCTCTTAGTACAAAATGTACCACAACTCTGTGCCATGTGGCGATTAAAACACGCGAATAATCCGGCCTGAGCGAGACCTTTACTTCATCAAGGCGGGGAAACCACATCAGTGTTGACAAATAACACTAAAGTATCCTTCATTTCCGTTAAAAATAAACTGATTGGCCTTGTGTTTCGACTTCATATAGTTTGTGATACATGGTTACATTACTGACCTTTTGTCCCATGTGAGATACAAGAGCAGCATCTCCATAATCATGCACAACCTTCCAGACACAGAAAAACACTGAACACGTGAGGTTCAAGGCCCGCTTGTACCTTCTCGTTGTACCACAAATCGGCAAAAAACAGCACAACATTGAATGTCATGAAATATAAATCATATCAAAAATAAGCTCTACAATGTCATTCTGCCCACAAGCTATAGTCAGAGATACGTTTTTTTCTATGTGAAGTATCTCAGCTGTTCAATCATTACCAGTAACTGACTACAGTGCGCACATACCCTGTGTGTTCAGAATACGAAGGGGCGAAAAAAAACAGTCAAAGCAGCAGTTTGAGGGTTGTTGTTAGCGTCCAGTTTCACCATTTCTTATCAAGCGGTGTGTGTGTGTGTGCTCATGTACAGAAGACTCTTCCGCTACTTCCACTTCAATATTTCAAACCAAATCCACATGTGCTTTCTGCCTGGTGTGGCAGTCCCAGTTTGAGTCAGATACGTCGGTATTGCGAGCCGCGGGGCCGTCCATGACCCGGAGAAACTTCTCAACACAAGGTGAGTCCACAAAAGCAGGTCGCTCGGGCAGGAGATAGTAATGTGTGGTGCTGGCCTTTTTGCCGTTTTCCATGACGGGGAGGATGCAAGGAGAGCCCTCGCTGTTCTGTCTCTGCAAACCCCGGAAGCTTACGTACTTGGGATCCGGCGCAAAGCTTTGGGTTGGGGGCATCACGCCATTTATGTATGACGGGAGGCTCTTGGGACTGGGGGTGCGGGAGCTGCCTCGAGACAAATGATCTCTTGGAGGCACCTTGGGTGGTTTATCATCATCACTGTAAGCCCCAGACGAGACCTCTGCTGACCAGCGGCGATAGTCTCCTGTCTTGATTGTTCTTGGGGGGATAGGGGGTGGTACTTCAGGTTTTTCCGTGCTGTTCGTGTGTCGTTTGTGGCAAGAGAGGCGCAGGAGGGAGGGCTTGTTAAAGGAGCCAGCTGGGCCTGAATGAGAGCGCCGCAGCCTCCTCTGAGCTTTTTCCTGCTGTCTCTGCTGACAGACCACTGGCTCAGGTGGTTCCTGTCGCTGTTCATACTGTTCTTTCACTTCCTGCGGAGGATGCACCTGATGCTGCTTTTTGTACTGCCTCGTGCTCTGCGGTCCTAATGGGCCGTCATAGTACGCATAGTTAATCTGCCCACAGTCCCTGAAACTCCTTCGACTGGGGATCCCGTATCGAAAAGGAGATGATTTGTGGCACTGATCGGACACCAGGCAACAGCTGTCGTCCGAACTCGTGAAAAACTCTACCTCACTGTCAATGGCCTGTTCGGGGGAGATGTCCGTCTGTGGAGGGATTGGGGGCAGAGGCTTGGAGCATCTGCCAGGCGTCTGCGGGGGACTGCTGCACACAGAGAGCCTCTGGAAGGAAGGGACCACCTGGTCATCATCAGCTGGACTCGGGGTGGATGGTTCAGCACAGCAGGACAGGGGGAGGTGGGATGGCCGGGACTTCTTTGGGGGTAATCTCTGCGAGGTGGGACTGTGTTTATGTCCTGTTGGAAAGGAGAAATGAAAAATCAGACCACAATTTTTGTTTGTCCTTTCAACACAACATATGCGACACAGCATTAGTTGATCTCTGAAGGCAGATGACAGGTCAGACACTCACTTTCATGACTTAGCGTCGATTGGGAGATCCCCTTTTGATGAGTCCGAGGGCTGTGATTTGTGTGTGCAGTATCCATACTGAAATAGAAGCTGTTAAAAAAGACAGATGTGATTGGTATCAGATTTATTGACTCTCACAGCACTTAATCAGAGTTTAAAAGAAATCCAAAACCAACCAGAATCACAAACTTGCTGCATACTAATTGTGTAGACTCACTTGTCCAGCTCATGGGGATAACTCCAAGACGATTTGGATCCAGCCATGCTGTGACAGTAGCTGCCCCTCAGGAAGGGGTTTTCTATGGGAAAAGAGATCTCCTGGGCAGTCAGGCCCACTGTGGACATGCTCCAGGCACAATCGGGTCGCATCAAAGCTTGGAAACACTCAGATCACCTGGTTGGCTGCCCCTACTTCTGGTGTACCTGTAACACATCCAAGACACGCTCATGAATGAGGAGGAAAGGAGGCTGACAGCAAAAGCAGATGAAGAGGAACAGAATATACACACTGAAAAATACTCTAATAGCAGAGACGACATCCTCTTGTGAGGCCAAGAGAGGAACAAAATCTTGATACAGAGCAGAGAACAAAACACACAAATCTTCTCTTGTCTGCTGGTCACCAAAGTAAATATTTAGCCGTCACTGGCTCCTCTTTAGAACTTCCTTAAAGGCTTAGAAAAGAGATCTCCTATGACAGAGGAACAACAGGAGCTCAGTTTCACAAGATTATAGGATTTATCAACGATAACGGAGCATCTTGTCATTCATCAAGTTCGGGACAAAGTTTTAGGAAACAAAGAAAACCAAATTACAAGTGTTAAAAACAGATTGTGTTCCCAAAATATTCTTCTCGAGTCTTTATTATACGAAAATCACGCTTGAGTTTACTGTTTGCTGGGACTTAGACATGACGTATTTCACAGGACGCCTGAAATGTTCATATTCTTCAAGGAATACCATCTAAATGTTGACTTTCTTTACATTTAATCCACATTATATTCAAGCTTTAACCACCATCTTCTCAGATTTAAATTTCTCCTCCTCCTGTTGTCAACACGGTTGGTTTTATAACTCGACTCTACTGTGCTCCAGTGCTGCAATCTGCCCAGTCCCGAACAGCGCAGGAAGGGGCTCCTCCTGTTACTGCAGATATACCTGGTGTTGCAAGAACTTACCAAGTCAAATGACCTGAATGTTCGTGTCATGTCAAGTATGTGTCAGGGCTGAGTAAACAGTGAATACAATATTCAGAGAGGGGGGGAACCGTGGCAGCGTATTGATATCTCTGGGGTCAATGATACACTGGAAGCAGAATCAGACTTTTCTTGCCTCATACTCGACCAACCAGTTCAGTATTTCACAATCTCCGGTGCAGCAGGAGTAGAAAGTCTCTAAATGTTTTGTTTCAGCATGTAAGGGAAACTTTGTTGCACATAAACCATGCATCGTTATGGTAAAACTCCATTAATCCTAATTTTTAAAATGTGGGAAAAACAGGTGCATCAGCAACCCTGGTGGTCATCTCTTCAAATGAGGTGCGTGCACACACTCAGGGATACACTGTCCTCCTTATAATGTAGAAGTGATGACTGAGAAGAACAGGGCCCCCTCGTTCCCGCTCTCCTCTGAGCCATATTTATGTGCAGCCCTGACAGCTGGTGAGAAACAAAGCTCTAAAACAACAGGAAGCCCGGGGCATCAGCTCGAGCCAAACTGCCCAACAAGGCATGCAATCCCCCCTGCCCAGGGCCGTCGATTCGGTTCGGCGGGGATGGGAAGCAACATGATCCTCGATAATGAACCCCCAGGGACTTGTGCTTCCTCTTGCAACAGGTGCAAAGACAGTTCATCCTGGCAGTTAACCATAGCAGCATTTACAGGCAACAGGATTAAACAAATGATGTGCAGTCATGCAGGGCATTAACCCTCTTAAAGAAGGAATTCTTCCAGTCATTTAAATCTGATACTTTGACTGGAGAATGTGGATCTTTTTATGGTCAGGTTTGGACAAAAAACGTGGACAGGCTTTAGTGAGAGAGGGAGGTCTGATGGGGTTAGTTAGCAGTGATGTCAAACATCAGCAGACAGCTCACTCTCTGACTCGCTTTGATTCCGGATGGTAGTAGTCACACACACACACGCAGACCTTGAAAGAAGGAGTTCACACCCCGCTCATGACACCCCTGCAGCGGTTTCCGAGCAACCATACCCGCTCTACCTGTGCGGCAAGCAAACAGCGCGCACACCCCCTCACTCTACCGGATTGATAATAATGGTTAAAAGCCCTCTAGCAGGCAGGTGACTCACAACACAACACAACACACCACACAGGACAGCTATCTGACGAGACCGCCTGATAATAATGAGAGAGAATTAACAGTTATTCACATTTTCTTGAATATAGGAATACAGACAGGCAACATGAGATATTTTAAGTTTAAACAACTTAATTTTTAGTCAATGGAGGAGGTAAATTTTGAGTTAGGGACCATCAGCGAATATTACAACTTCAATTTAAACAAACGAGATTTATTCTTGCCATGTTTCCCCTCGTCCTTGTATATATTTTTATTATGTATTCATAGAGTTCATATAACAAGCAAACAACTGAGCTGCTCCTCTTAGAGTCTTCCTCAAAGCCGCAAAAACTCACAAACTTGCACCAATAAGCGGGTGTCTGTCGCGTTGCTACCAACATACACAACAAAAGCGAATCAGACCGGATTCCGGTTTTACGCACATTAAGCCCACATGAACCGTTTCAAGACCTCTGTTCTGGACTCACCTAAATCACTTCGCAGTTCTCCTTGATTCCTGTAAGACTCCTTTTCCTGGAGAAAATAAGCTCCCCTGGTTGTTTCTTCCTTGAGTCTGTTATCTTCTGGTTCGTATTGCGTCAGGAACAGGACGCCAGGGACGCTCCGGCCCTACAATGTGACACTTTTTAGATAAGTCTAGTGTTGTAGTGCGCTATGGCTTATAAGCTCCACCACACGAGAGACACGCTGGCCCCGCCCATGCACACTTGCTCTTAAAGCGGCAGTGTCCATTTTTTCACCAAGAGTACGTGCAGCCGAACATTAGACCATATTGTTTGCATAATTACACTTAATCCATCATTTTCGCCAAGTGGCAATTTTCCCATGACTCCGTGCGCAAGGTGGGGAGCTGGAATACCATTACAATACCACAGTGCTGTTTCAGAATCAAGTCTGTTATTGATTATGGATGGTTTTTTGGGAATGTGGTGGACAATTTTGGATGTATTTACATGCACTGGGCAATAATCTAATTATTGGCAGCTACAGTAGTGGTGACAGGCCCCCTTTCAGCTTGTTACTATCAGATTGTCTCCCAGTTGATGTATTACATGTCAAAATAGATGACAAAATATGTTAAGCAAAGTTTAGTAAAGTTTCATTTTCACATCCTTTTTCTGTCGAGGTTTGGTTTACTTCTTAGCATCTTTGCTACGTGTCCCTGCTACTTCTGGATTAAAGCCAGGGTTGCAAACACTTGGGCATGCACAGAACACATTAACCGGTTACAGTTAGATTAAGCTCTATACATGACAGAGCAAATCAATTCCCAACAACATTATCTAGGTATATCAGTACAACTATGAGAAGTTTGACTTCAGTTGGACTCATTAGTTTACATGATATTTAGTTTCAGTCAGGATAGGTTGACAATTTTGGATGTACGGCCTTGTTCCCATTTACATGCACTTGGCAAGAATCTAATTATTGGCTGCTACAGAAGTGGCAACAGGCCCCCTTTCAGCTTGCTACTATCAGATTGTCTCCCAGTTGATGTATTACATGTCAAAATAGTTGACAAGAAATGTTTGCAAGTGACTAACAGCCGTCACTTTTACAGCTTCTTGCCATATGTGTATACGATAGTAAAGTTGCATCATTTTTCATCCTTCCTTTTTCTGTCGAGGTTTGGATTACTTCTTAGCTTCTTCGCTACGTGTCCATGCTATTCAACTTCTGACTTAAAGCCAGGGTTGCAAACACTTGGGAATGCACAGAACACTTAAACCTGTTAAAGTTAGATTGAGCTCGATATGAAAAAGCTAATCGATCCCTAACCACATTATCGAGGTAAGTTAGTACAACTATGAGAAGTTTGATTTAGTCCGATTTCAGTTGGACTAATTAGTTTACATGATATCTAAAAGTCCAGTTTCAGACAGACTAAAGCAAAAAAATATTATTTGAACATGTAAATGTGCTGAATATCTGCAGTCTTACCTTCAGTCCAAAGAAATAAAATCTACGCTGCAGTTCCCCAAGTGTCCACTTGAGGCTGACTCCAAAAGCACTGGAGGCCACATACACACCTATTCAAAAAGGTGAATCTTAACAGCAAAAATAAACAGACTAATACAAAAAGCAATTTTGGTTTGATTAGCTCATATCAGTATATTCAAAGGCTATACAAGGTGGTGATTTTTTTTTATACTTCATTAGTTTTCAAGATATAAAAGTTATGAGTTTGGTGCAGCTGACTTGATTGACAGGTGAGCACAACGTAGCAGTGAGAATCCATTTTCCTGACAGGGCATCTGCCATGGATAGGCTTAAAACTCGGCTTCAGAAACCAATGGGTGACGTCGCTGAGGCTGTCCATGTCAAAGATAGTCTATGACTTTAATAGACTGCCTATAACAGACTCAGTAGACTAGGTAATAAAATGTTCAGTCTGCCTTTGAAATATATGCCCTAAGATTCTAACTGCACATTGTTCTTTCAGCTACGTATAATTGAAAAAAGAAGGGAACAAAACAAACAGATTCCTTCATACATGGCTTACAAACCGTTTTGTTGCCCCAATCTGGTGGCAGGAAAACAGTAGCTATGGGATTATATTGCGTAGGGCTAATTCAAGTAAATAAGTATACTCAATGTGATAAAATCTGCAGTGCCTCTTTTGCCTTTGCAGTTGGAGGACATAGAGCAGGTGTGAACACAAGGATACAGCCAGATGATACATTGTTCCAGTGGGGTCATGGAGGACATGCAATAGCCCTTGCAGTTAACACCTAGATAATTAGCCAGACAGCTGTCCTGTAAATAAATTAAAGCACAGCTCAAGTAGTCTTGGTGATACGGTGCAATAATACTTTGTCAAAATTGTTCTTTTTTGTTTAAGAAGTATTCACCCCTTAAATTAAACTATTTGAAAAAGTGAAAATTCACCCTGTAGCCTTGAAAAACCTTCTGACCTACATTATACTTGTACCTTCTTTTGTATGCATAAACAACAAGCATGCTGCAGTCAGAAGAGAGCCGCACAGATTTGCAGGAGGGCAGAGGAAGTAAAGGGGATGGCTCCAGGGAAGATAATACCGGCAGCAGGCAGAGAAACACTTTTATCTGCACTGTACTCTGCTGCCAACTGAACAGAGCCAGGATTGTTCAGCTGCTGGCTTATCAGATCACATTTTCTTTTAGCTGGACCTGTTCTCTGTTCACCTGACACAGTGTAATTAGATAACCTCCCAGGCTATGGGATTAATAAACTGTTTTTTTTCTAATTGTTTTGGTTCAGGGTTGTATATGAGTAATCCTGGACGTGCAATCTCTCACACCCTCCATTTCCAGTCACCGCGGAGCTCAGCCTACTTTTGCAGTGTCACCTATCCAGGCTAAACAAACCCTACACTGACATGCACTCAAACCAAACAGAGCGATACAAAAGCTACAAATAACCCGTGTGTTGATTCAATAGTGGCAGAAAGCTGAGGTGTGTGTTGAGGGAACAGAGTGTTCCTGCGCTGGAGTTTGATAATCCTTCACAGCTTGGGCTCCAGGTTCCCCCTAACCCCGCAGGCTTATCATTACATAGTTGGCCCCTGCATGGACCAGGCACTCCCTAATCCCCCTTTATAATTTCAGGCACATTTTTGGGATTCCCTCGGTCCAGTTGTGACTGAAAGAGAAGGAGGTGCTGGAGGATTTTGGTGTAAATGCGAATGATATGAGCATGAGAGTTTGGATTAAAGAATTTGCATGTTGGATGAGATTGATTGTGCAAGAAATCACTTATAACAATAAAACTTATCTAAAATCTGATAAAATAACATGAATTACGCACTTTTTTCTTTGTATCTCAGTTTTTTTAATCCATGAATCTGTCATCAACCCTTTTCCATGTTCCTTGAAAAAAAAGACATTCAGTGGGATTAAAGGCTTCATATCCAAACTCTCTCTCCTCCCACTTCAGCTCCCCCTCCCCTCCCTGCTTGTGAGCCATGCTGTGGCGTCATCACTCGCAGGAAGTTCCTTATAAAGTTAGTCAGGGAGGGAGATAAGCACCCACAGCCACAGGCAGCTCTGATGAGAATTTGAGATGACAGATGAAATAACTCATGTCAAAGAGGACATCCTTCCCAGGAAAAAGAAAATCACTTTGATTTCTTCTTTATTTTGCTTTATGACTCACCCTGAACTCCAGCCCCACCACTTTCAACATCCCCTTACCCTCCCACAACATGAAATGACACCTTGGAATCGGTTTCCTTTCAGCTTGACACAGGGCTAAAAGGAATTTCCCTTTGTGGCTCACACGCCAACAAGAGGAAAGTTTAAGTTATAAACTGGCTCTTCAGTCACTCAGCTTATTATGATAAATCCCTCTCCAGCAGGAAGGGTGGGGTTAAGTTGGAAATGAGGCAAAAAACCACCCTGTGCCATCAGTGTTAATGATTAATTCACTATAGAGGTCACAGCATTGATTGCTTCTGCCTGCTGAGGTAATTAAATTACGTGCATACTTAACCTCTGTCCAAGGTCCACACTGATATAAACACAGCAGCAACAAAAAGTTCTGTGTAAGGTGACGTCAGTTTCTGGAGCTCGGGTGAATCAGTGATAAACTTGTGTTTGTTTTTGGTCTGTTTACATTTTTTCCAACTTTAACAAAGGTTTGGTTCGAACCAAGGTCTGCTGGCTGCTCTGGTGTAAAACGAAAGATCAGCGAGCAAAGTAAGAGCCAGCAGAGTCAGGAACCTCCTAACTCGAGAAGTAAGGGCCATTTCTGACTCCCTTGAAAAACAGCTTTATTGGTCAGTTAGACTATTTTATATCATTATTACTGTAAAAAGCAGTCATAAAGGGATATTCCAGCAGAAATTTACTGAGTGCAGCTGAAAATTTATGATTATTACTTTGTGGGAAAGCAATCAGATCGAGACGCTAAGGCAGAGGAACTATCGCATCTGCTGTACAAAGACAAGATACACAAGAACTCTGATTGCATTTCCATGAAGTAATAATCATAAATGTTCTTCCTTGAGCTGCGAAACTCCGCTGCACTAGGTAATAAACTTATCAGGGCTCCCCCACAAACAAGCGGCTGCTGGAGGAGAGTGGGTGAGTTGTGTGTTGGTCTCTTTGCTAAAGAAATCAGGCAAAGCTAAAAGATGTTTGGTGGCTAGTACTGTGGCTGGGACCCTATATGTACTGTTGATGAAGTTAGCTGCTGTTTTGAGTATTATTTGTGGCTATAGAGTGGCGTTTTGGTTGAGGTTTGCACATGGAGATGTAGACGCTGTGTATTGCTATTGTGCGGTCGTTGCTGAAGTTGGTATAACTAGAGAAACAAGCAACTGGTGACATTCATCTCTCGAGGGGGTGTCTTATTCAGTCTTACAGTGTGTTCGACCATAACTTACATTTACGTCAGAATATCCCTTTAAGTAGTTCAATGTTTTATCTGCAGAGATTTTGTCTAAGTGTTTGTCTTTGCCATGTACCCTGTTAATAATATGGAAGTGAATGGGGTAGGGTGAAAGAAGCTTTGGAAATTTGAGTAATATTTGAAACAGGTAGTAATTCAGTGTCAGTACAGAAACTGTATTTTGATTACTAAAGGTGATGAGTAGATCTTTGCTGAAAGCTGATTTGATTGTGAACATAGGCGAATACATTCACTGCAAACTTGTCTCGAGCATGATTTT